GCTAGTTCAGGGATTGCATAGTAACAGAGAATTTACAAATGAAAAGTAGAATATATATATTTTTGGGGAAGAAATTTGGAATAAAAACCAATGTTTCTGGAAAAAACAGACTTGCTGCCAGTGGGGAAACATACTTTGATAAATTAAGGTACTTGGTTCCTGGGGACAGATTTCTTGCAGTCATGTGACATTGCCAACAGCAATGCATTTTATTTGTCCTTCATAAAAGCGACAGATTAGTGTACCTTTGCTTCTCTGAAGAGTTTTCTTCCATCTTACCCATATGTAGAGTTGTGAAGATCTGAAAAAGGGAATAGTCGGAAAAAGGGTTTTTTTTAAGTTTTCCTTCACATCTAGGGAGCATCTTTTTTTAAAAAAAGATGTTCTAAATCTGTACTGTATTTTTCAAAAATGAAAGTTTATTTTTTCCCTTTTATTTGCAGCAAGAAAAATGCAATGGTGGCTGCACCTTCAGAAACACGTCTGCTGTTCGTGCTGTTTGTCAGTTGAGATCTGTTTGCACTTCATTGTGATTCTTAAGTTCATTTTAAGAGTGTGACTCTCTAGAGCTGGCAATATAGGGGCCATGGGTCGGCAAAGAATGCAAACCTGGTCCAGCATACTTGCTTTCTTTAGCCACTTGTGCTTTGATATCAAATGGGTTGTTTAATAATCACTGCAGTATGACACAGAAAAAGAGGTTTGCTGCCAAGCGTCAGAACTGCCGCCATGCTTCGCAGCCAGAAACAAGAAAACGAGCATCAAACACTAGGAAATGTGCACATCACACTGTTAATCTCATCCCCTGATACAGTCCCTTGAACACTTAAGGAAAAGATGGAACAGCTGACCTAGCTTGTGGGAGCTCCTTCTTGTTCTAAGCATAAAAGGAAACCATTCAGTGAAAAAGAAAGGAAATCTATTACTCTGTAAGCCCCCTAAGGAAAGTGGCCCCATAAGAAAGCACTAAATTGACTCACTGGCAGATGCCAATAATATGAAAAATGGAAAGACCCATAACATGGATTTGGAGGGTTAGAGGTAGCATGTTGTGGGTTTGTGCGTGTGTGTGTGGGGGGGGTGCATGCTGGTTCTTGAACCAGTTGAAATATGTACTGGGCTGAATGATTTTTGCTGAGGGTTTTGTGATTCTTTGCACTCACCTCAACTTGAATCCTAACTTTCAAGCACAGCTAGTGCAGTTCTAGCTTCCTTTTAAAGAAATGGCTATGTCCTCTTTTTGGTTCCTCTGAACCAGGCAGGTTATCCTTTGGTTGCACACAGTTATACCAGTATAAGGTTTGCATCTCTGCTGCATGCTCCTTTTGATCCGATTCCACCTGCATGTTGACCTCCAAGGCCACTGATGCAAGGGACCATCTGTCAGGCCTGAATTGTGCCTGAGGGAGAATGGCTTGGCCAGACTCTAGAGGGGAAGTTCTTACCCGTTGATGGATTTATTTGGTTTAGGTTTTGTCTATGTATTTTATGTACAGTTCCATAATATTTTGTATCACTGGTCTTGATAACAGTTATTTAATACAAGCTACAATTGATAGTTTTTTAAATCCATTCTTGGTTGCACTTGGCCTTACCATTTTAGTTTGGTACAGATGGATTTTGAGATAGCAGGCCTATTCATTAAATCTGCCAGAAGGGATTACTTGCAAAAAAGATGAAATAAACTCTCATGATGGACTGAATTGCACATCTATAGCTGTGTGCTGGTTTTGTTGCCTTTTGAAGAGCTAAAACATGGTCACAATAAATGTTGCCTATTCCTTAAGTCTCTAAAGGAAAACAGGCTCTATACAATTTAAAGATGAATTAACAGTGGCCAGACTCACAACTTTGAGGCTTAAAATTTTAAGTAAAAACAAATGGGAAGTAGATGAAAGTAGGGAAAGCTAGTGGGTGTCAGGCACACGTAGTGCAATCCTATGTATGTTTAGTTAAAAGCCCCACAGGGTTCCACAGTGCCTTTTCCTTACGTTTGTGATGGCAGCCAAGGGTAAAATCTTTAGTTGCTAGTTAGTTGCTTGTAGAAGTGCATGTTAAATGAAATCCATATAGCCTGAAGTGCCTGATCCTGCCAGATCTTGGAAGCTCAGCAGGGTTGGTCCTGGTTGAAATCTGGATGGGTGACTTAAATGTTGGGAACCGCTTAGAGAGCTTTGGCTATGGGCAGTATAGAAATGTAATAACAATAATATATTCTTAATGGAGAAAATATTCCCCCCCTTATGAAGCAATTTGTAACTGGGAAGATGGAGCTAAAGCGAAGGATTCAGTGCTTAGAGAACTAATGATTTCCTTTTGACATTTAGTTGTTGATTTGCATATAGTTGTTTCAATAAAGAAGTAGATGAAGTTTATGATAACAAACATTATTTTACTAAAAATCAGTTATTAGAAAACTCCAGCCTGGAACCTCAATGTGGCAGTATTTTCACAAAGCTAATCTGGTGTGCAGTCTCTGCAATTAGCAGTGAGATGACACATACAAAAAGATGTTAGACAAACCATGTGTATTACCTATTTGAATTCCGATAATTTAACATTCTGGCTCACAAATACTGAGGGGATAAGCTCTTTCAGTTGCTTTGCTTAATTATAAAATCAACTTATTAACAATGGGCAAATTTGCCATGATATGACAATCCATTCTGCAAATAAGCTACACAGGATGAATTGTCACAATTCCTAGTCGTCCAGCCAATTTCCCTGGTACCTGCATGGCAGAACCCATCTTGCCTGCCTTTCCCTGATCCAGTTATGACCTTGCTTTTGTTCACATTCCCCCCTCTCTTTTCACAGCGTTGTGCCACTTCCCTGATCCCCACTCCTCGGATGCCCGACTGTCACTAGTTCTCCTTCCGCTTTGGGGGAGAGGCTAGGAATGTTGAGATTGCAGGTGGAGTTTCTTTTTGTTTCATTTTTGGGTTTTGGTGGTATACAAGCCTGCACTTGCAGCTTGGAAATATGGAGTCCTGTCCACCAATGCCCTGGTAAATGCCTGCTGTCAAAGTGCCATAGGAAACATTCAGGGGCATTGACAAAATGTGGCTGCATATGGATTAATTTGCACACACTTGACCACTTTAGGTCCATCAGATCTGGTCCATCATTTTCATGGTCAGAATTCTGCTTGTGGAATCATTTTCCTGTGTGTTCTGCATAGAGGACCATAATTTTTCTGCTTATATATTCTGCATTTGATCTCTGGTTTCAGCATGTCTGCACAATCTGCCTCCATGTGTTTTCTGTGTAGCTTTTTGGGCCTTCTTTGTTACTCAGAGAAAGCATTATATCTGTTTACTCTTATTATTCTGCTCCTTCATTCCTGACAGATTCCATTTCTTTCAGCATTTCTTCGCTTCCACATTAAGGTTCTCTTTTAGGATCCTTCATATTCCTTTTGTCAGCATTTTGTATAGAAGTCAAAGATAGATCAAACTGGCGAGATGAAGAATTTCTTTAGAAGGAGATGCTGTGGGCCACTATTGGTCAATTTGTTGAGGGAGGGTAGGGACCCTGTTTCTATGTTCACTTAACTGGTTGACTTAAGTTTAGGCTAATACGCACCCGTCTTCAGGGGCTCTGCAAAAATTGGCCAGATTTGACATGATTGGCAAGAATAAAATCTAAGCTTCCAAAGTGGAATGTGCAGCTACTTTTCAGTTCTTCAGCACAGAAGCTCCCAAATCAAATGCTTTTGTAGAATTAAGATTTTAGTCTGGTGTTGACATGTAGAAAGGATTGGTAAACATGAGGGGAAGAAGATGTTTTCATAAACAGTGGTTTTCTCCATTCATAAAATACTTCTCTCAGATGTGTTCTAAATTTGCCAGTATGCAAACTAACCAGTTGCTAGAAATAGCAGTGATACAGTCAGTAACCAGTAAATATCTAGGAGTGCAACATACCTAGATTTAAACTCTTTTAAGTAATGATGTAGGGGTGGTGGAGGAGGAGAAGGAGGTGGTAGACAGGGTAGAAAGTCAGCCAAATAATTTTATTTCCTCCTCCTCCTGGTTTTGGCCATAACTGTCTGGTGTGTGGCCCCGGCAGAGGTAATGCAGAAGTAATTCCTATCTCTGGTTGGAGAGTTTTCAGGGTTTCCTTATTTTGGCTTCTACTGTACTGGCTTGCTCACATTGATCTCTAGTTCTAGTCCCACCTCATTTACGAGCTAGGGAAGGAAATTAAAAAAAAAAAAAAATAGATTGCAACTGTTCTACTGGGAACCATAGTTTCCTTTCACTGGGACAGTTCTGAACAACTGTTGACCCACCATGTTGAATGAATTTCACCAGAGGCTCATAAGTATATGCCCCAACTCACATCACCTACCTGCACAGGAAATGATCGTGGCAATTGTCGTGTGCCAAACTGACCACAGCAGAAAAGGGCACTTGCTCTATAAACACTCTGTTTTTTTTTCCTGGACAGTGTACTATAGATATATCCCCATTCTATTGAAAAGGAAAATCAAAGCAATTAAATACAAGTCAAGGAGAGAGACCCAGCCAGTCCAGTTCTTTGAGAGTTTAACAGGCATATGATGGTCTGCTGGAACTAGATCCTTAACTTCTAAAAAGCTTTGCCTCATGAAAGGTTCCTGGGTAAACATAGTCATGGGGTGAGAGCGTTTTAGCAAAATTTTTTTCTCATATTGGAAGTTCTTCTGCCCTTTTTTGAGCAAAATCTAACATGGAATTTGACATCCACAGTCTTCCACTGAGAGACCCATGCAGTAATTTATATTCAAAAGTTAAAGGTGCATGCATGCACAACTAGTTCGGACCTATATCATCGAGCCAGAATTAAAATGTAAACTCACCAGTATTTTTCTTATGATGTGTATTTATTGCTTGTAGTGACTGCTGGGATTTAGGGTGTTTCTATTTTAAGTTGAAAAATAAATTTGCTTGTAATATGGTTGCTTTATTGAAAAGTTAAGGATGATAATTAACTCATTGTTTTCCCCCTTCTTGTAGCATAAGCAGTACCATAATGGATGTAGACAGCACAATTTCCAGTGGACGTTCAACCCCAGTTATGATGAATGGACAAGGCGTTACAGCTTCGTCAGCAAAAAGTATTGCTTATAACTGCTGTTGGGACCAGTGCCATGCTTGCTTCAACTCCAGTCCAGATTTGGCAGATCACATTCGCTCCATACACGTAGATGGCCAGCGAGGAGGGGTTGGTTTATGTTTTTTCTGTTCTTCCATGATGTCTGTACTATGTTGAAAATTACCTGCAACTGCTGTTAAATTGCATCTTTTCTGGGGAAAGCTTCATAAATATGGTTATACACATTTTTAGAATGTATATAAAATACTTCAGAGATATTTAGTCCAATGGATTTTAGAAAGAAGTGCCTTAACATAGGCTTGATATAGACAATGGAGGACAGGGAGGGAAATGGGAACAGTGGTAGAGAAGAGCATTTTCACTCACTTTGGACTCATTACAGTAGGGTATTGGGACGATGTGGTTGATCCAAAATCTTCATGGAAAAGGCGGGCTTTGAGGAAGTAAGTTTGTGGAAGCTAGCAATATTTGGGGAGGCAGCCCCTGGCACAAGACAGCAAGGGAGAAAGGACAGACTTTCAGAACATCACAGGAAGGCACATGTCAGGATTATAGAAGTAAAGCTATTGTGGGCAGTTGGGCAAGGCTATGAGGAGAATGTTTGAAGAGAAGGATGCAAAGCTTATAGAGCAGGGGTGGCCAAACCGAGGCTCTGGAGCCATATGTGGCTCTTTGGGCTTTTTTTGCGGCTTGCCCCTCACTGCTGTGGGCGCCTGCTTGCTGCTTGCTGCCCACAGGCACCTGCTGCAGCTCTTACACATCTTACACATACCATATGTGCCTCTTCCGTTGAGTGAGTCTGGCCATCCTATTGCAGAGGATCCAGGATGTACAGAAGGCACTTTTCCTGATAAAGGAAGTGTGGATTTAAAGTGAGTGCACAGCATCAACAGAATTAATAAATCAGCCAAATGTTCTCCACACTAGGTAGCCTTTATGCTGTCTTACCTGGAGATGCTGAAATTAGTTTGGCGGAGTCAGACAGTTTGTGAATCATCAGGGCTGTGATGCTGCAACTTCTGGGGGAACCTAGAGTTTATTTAGCTACTAGTATGCAGAGATGCAGGCGGTAGGAAAACTTGCAAGACCAGATGTGATACTGCTATGATGCAATTTCTAGCACTAACTCCCAATAACCAGTGGTTTGCAGATTAGGAGCCAGCCTTGGGTGTACACACTTTCCGTCCCCTGTTTTCTTAACCATTTAATATTGCATATACACTAATGCTAATCATGGTTAAAGCTGACATTTCCTTGAAACAGTAGAAACAAGTGCAGCTTACATAGGTTCATGGTTATTAAAATGTGATACTCCTTCAAGTTGCTATGGCAAAAATGGCAACCTCAGTATGTTTTCTTGTACTTTGTCAGCAGGTGCTTTCATTTTTGACCCACTGTTTGACCCGTGATCCCAGTACTTGACTAAATGGAGAGAAACTGTCAGATATAGTACAGGGTATATTCATGTTTTCCATTCTTCCATTACCTCCTCTACACAAGCAAGGAGGTAAATTAAAGGAGATGGTATAATAATAGTATAAAACTGCTGATGGCATTTGTTGAAATCCTCAACAAAGATCAAGGTTTTTCTTACTTACATTATGTAATTAATTTATATGTTGCCCGATAGCTTAAAGCTATCTTTATAGTTCACAGAAATTAGACACCACAATACAAGATAATAAAACATAATAGAAAATCTCTAACATACAAATTTAAAACAACCAACATAAGTGTCCATCATATGCCTCTAATGCTTGGGAGAACTGTGTTAACTTGGTACCAAAAGGATGAGAATGTTTTATATATATTTGAGTGTAATACTCATGTGTATTTTGTGGTGTTGTCATAAATTCAAATTCCACCTCAAGTGGGAGGGCATTGCATATATTTATTTATTAAATGTATATGCCACTGAATAACCCAACAGGCCTTATTTTTTGGCCAAAGCAGTATTAATAAGCACCATGTTGCTCAATGTTTGGTACTAAGAAACTTCTTTGGTGGAGTTGATTTTTTCAGACATGTCTTCTGAGTAAATAAAATAGTTGAATAAACTCCAGTGGACTTCTAATCTTACAGCAAGATCTTAGACTCAGAACTTATCAATACCATGGACATGCTGTTCCAAGATCCCACTATATAATTTAAAGAGCCTGCAATGTTCTTGGTGTAGTCCAGATAATAAACCTGCTTGTGAGCTCACAGTCTCATAAGATATGATATAGAAGAAGAAAAGAATTAGGAAATAGGCAAGCAAGCAAGTTCTTAACATTTCCCAATCTGAAGTGCAGATGAACAGTTAACAGCTTCCCATTCCCTGATGGGAAGGACCAGAGCATATTCCTTTCAGCCTCACAGTCCAGGGGCAACTGGCTGTTAGGACTCAGTGTTTTTTCCAGGCCTGAAGGGAGGTAAATTGATTCTTCTCTGGGCCCAAGCAGGGAAGGGAAGAGGAGCAGTCCCTCCAGGCATTGGTTTCACTGGTCAGTTGCAGAGTTCAGTGCATGTGTCCCTTCAGTTCTTCAGGCACCAGGGAAGGTGTTAATACAGGTCTTAATACTGTTTTAGCTGGAGAATAATTTTCCTTCTGTAGGCCAAGGGTATGATAGTTCATATGAAGCATGGCCATACATTTGAGAAGGCAGTGATAATATACTGCCTTTCCTGTGCAATTTACTACTTTGTATGTGGGCAGACACCACCTGCTGGTGAATCTATGCAACTGTTTGTGTTCCCTTGTCAGCCAGCTAAGACTCCCCTTCCAGGCATTTAATGGCATCTCATGGGGACTTTTGTCAACTGTTTTATCAGTTCTCATATCTTACTGACTTTATTTTAGCTGTTCACATTGTTTTAAACGTTGTATATTAAAATTTTCTGCTATGTTCTCTCTCTTGTGTCTGACTTATTTTTGTGAACCACCCAGGACACTGGATTTTGAACAGTATAAAAATGAAATATCCTGTCTCATTTGTTGTATCTTTGTATAGCAAGTAACCCCCCCCCCTTTTTTTTTACTATTCCAGGAAGTTAGCAATGACTTGTTGGTTCAGTGTGTGTGTGTGTGTGTGTGTGTGGCGGGGGGGGGGGGCGTTCAACTGAAAGGTGTCTCAACCAGAAAAGTAAATTTTCTTTGTTGCCTGCATACTGAAGTACAGGTGTCTACAAATGCTAGTGTGGCTTAGTAGCCACCCACTCCCTGTACTTTCTGCAAAAACCCTTCCCCTTTACTTCCCAAGCCCTCTGTGATTGACAAAGCGCCTGTGGAAGAACTGGGGATTTTCCCCATTTCACTGTGGTAAGGAGGTTAGTAATAGCAGTAGATTGTTGTGCTGTTTTTTGCCTTCTGAAAACCACAGCACAGGTGGGGACATGGCGAGAGGAGACTGGACATCCCTCATACAGGAGGACAAAGTATACTTGCCACTAGTAAATGGTTTTGTGGTTGTCTGGTCCCTTCCAGATGTTTTAAGTCAAGGGTTCTGCTACTTGTGAGTTTGCAACCTGATAAAATGTTGGCAAAGTGCAGCACTTGGGGCTATTGATTCTATTTTGAATTGATGCTTTTTTTGATATTTTTGTACTCTAGGTTGGAGTTCAGAGGCTGCATATGTTTTTTTACATCCTAGCATGTGTAGAAGTGGAAAAATAGAGATAACTGATCCATTGGGTATTCATCTTTGGAGCCAGAATATTTTAAGTATAGAAATTCCTTCCTGATGGGAGCTGACCTATAATGGCACAGAGGTTGTGGGTTCCAATTCCAGCTTTCCACAGTTTGCATGATGGATAATGAACTGTGATAAATGTGCTGAAGAATGTCCAGATGCTTCAGTTGGTGCAAAATACAGCTCCCAGTCTGCTAACTAGTGCGCAGTATTGGAAACATTTTATACCTCTGTTAAAGGACATGCACTGGTTGCAAATTGCTGTCCAAGCTTTTGGTGTTAACCTTTAAAAGCCTAATGGCTTAGGACCTGGCCAGGAACCACCTACCTGGCATTCCCCTGTGATTAGATAACATAATTGAGCTGGTATCAAAGAAAAGAGATCAGTTGTTATTAAAGCTCAAATATCTTATTAGATTCTTCACAGCTTATCTGTAATATAATAGGACCCCTTCACAAGGCTGCCTTTAACAATGTAGAAATAAAATACTATTTTGGGGTCAGCCCAGCAATTTAAGTAGGTATTTGGACAGTTCCCAGGCAACTTCAGTAGCAGTGCATGGTGGTGATAGGTGTCCACAGTTCTTTATCTGCATTCCAGCATCTTCTAGCTAGACAGGTGTTATCTTAATTATTACATAGGGAATAAATCATTTTGGTTTTCTTTATATCCGGTATGGGACATGTGTTCATTGAAGATACACAGTCCTTTCAAAGTAGCCCTCTCATGCTCATGACTCTGCAGAATTGTTTGGTGGTGAGTTCCATAGGTTGACCATCCTAAACATATTTATTTTCTTATACTAATGATGATTTTTAAAGAATCTGCTGTTCTTCCATTTTGATTTTTTTTAAATTTCCCATTTAGGAGCTCCATTTTTAAAAGCCAGTGTGCTTCCTGAGAAGCCACTCATTTGTACTTTGTTTTTTCAAAAAGCATTTGACCATGTTCTCAGATCAGTTCTTGGATTATGGTGTTCAGTTCCTTAAACGTGACCTTTGCATATATATGTCAACTTGAAACCTCCAAGATGCTTTGCCATAGATAGCCTATTTCTGCTTTGGTTACTAAATGTGGTATTCATTATTTACGTTTGTCCATGACATGAGTTAGATGCAGTGTTGCAATAGTAACCTTTAGAGCTTTTTCTTAGAAGATCTGGTTGGATAGGGCTGGCATGATATGATATGAGCAGAGTTTGTCGCAATGGTGAAAGTTGGTCATGAGGGTTCACAGTGAGAAGTGTAAAAATATGACAGATGCAAAGAACTGCATATTCTTTCCCAAGACAAACCTGTCCAGTTTCCTGATGCTGAAACAAAAATGTTGGAAATACGGAATTTAAAAAATCACTCTTTACTTTGGAGTCTTGCCACGGGAATTTGAGTATGAAAAGCATGTAATAGGTGGGCATTCCTCCTCACTTAATAGCTGTTTTTTTCTTACTAGGTATTTGTTTGCTTATGGAAAGGCTGCAAAGTCTATAATACACCATCAACAAGTCAGAGTTGGTTACAACGGCATATGCTGACACACAGTGGTGATAAACCTTTCAAGGTAAGAGGACTTCCAGGACAGATTGAATAAAATCACTAGAGTTCTTGATGGCACACACTCCATCTGAGCTGGATTATGTCGGATTGATTTTTGTCTGTCTCTCTGTGCTAATTACCAATTTCTGTGCTCTGTGTGAGGGGG